AGATTTGTCATTCCAGATTCTCTATTACTATTTGAATTTTCAGATTTTAAAGCTTCTACTGTATAAATAAAACTATCAATATATGATCTATTCCCTCTATATTTTGATGTCTTACCATTTTCACAGGATATTTTTACATAGTCCCATAATTCTTTTCTGATTACTCTCTTATGGGGTATAATCCCATGACAATTTTAAATTTTATTTCAATCTCCAATTTATTCTCAAAACCTGAATTTTTTTCCATATGGCTAAAATTGTATTAAAACTGGCCTGTTCTGATTAGTTGGTGATCAAGTCTATCTCTGAAAGGCTGTCTATTTACTACAGCTTCTTCCAGAGAGTTCTTTGTTTCATTTATAATAGTTTTAAAATTAAATAGTATTAGGATTTTTTCTCGATTTAAGTATTTTTTAAAATTATTTTTCAAGATTTCGTTGTGAAATGCATTTTTTAATAAGTTTTGTGATTGTTCTTCATTTTACTTTCTATTGATTCTTTTAGATTTTTCTTCTCCTCATTTCCCTTTTTGACTTGATTATTTGTTTTCTTAAGAAAGTCATTAAATCATTTAAGATAATTTCTACAGGTATCTTTCGGTAAGAAAATTAAAGCTAATTAAATGAAGGAAATCAAGACAAAGTAAATGTGAATAGTGCAATAATGAGGCTAAAAGTAGTAAAAAGATGAAGTGAACGAAATGTCTAGTGGTGTTATTATATAGCTCGATGGAACTATAGATTGATAATAGTTACCTCAATCTGAACTTAATAGAGTGATGTGGTGGGGAGCTGCCTGATCCAGCCGGCAATCTAGATAACCAGTGCGTATCCTATTATTTGCTAAATTTTATAACTGAACTTATGAAGCAACCTTTGCCACAATAGTCACCAAATTTTATAATCTATGTCACTAACACTTTAACTTCACTTGTGCCAAAAATCTTTTTCATAGCTGTAGAATTTCTTAATGTTTAACCAAGTAGTAGATGTTGCTTAGTCAACAACCGAGATCCAACTCTGGGAGCTTTACATACAAAGCCTTAGATAACCTTAGAATATTTGCCAAACTTGTTAGGCTCACCAAATTCACTATTAAAAACATACAATACTCAATATAAATCAAATGGCAACAGGACATCATAATTTAACAATGGGAAAGGTGTAAGACAATGTGATGCCTTGGCTTGTTTACTTTTTAATTTGTCCATAGAAAAAGGGGGGCAAGAGGAACAATATGCAACTACCTATACTAGCTTATGGCCAATGCTGACAACTTAGATATTGTTGTCTAGTCATTGACGGTAGTAATGGAAAAATTTCTCGCCTTAGCTGAACCGGCAAAGCAACTAGAATTAGAAATAAATAGCTCAAAAGCTAAGTGCATTGTGCCCTGGAAAGTACACAGAGAAGAAAAACCAATGGCCATCACTTATATAAAATTGAAAAAAGTATCCGCATTCAGGCATCTCGCTACAATTGTAACATAGGACAATACAATTGAACAGAAGATTAAGAGTATTATTATTTTGATTAATTGGTATATATAGTTTTTCTTTTGATGGCTTAACACTCAGTGGCCTATCCAGGCCTAACGTGTGTCATAACTGTTTTTGTTTAAAACATAATTTTGGCATTGATTCTCAAAGGGCTTGTTGGATTCATCGGTTCTCCTAGGGTTTGCTATGGAACTCCAACATTGTCAACCTCAGCTTCATGAACTTATTGTAGCGGATAACTAGTATCTGCCTGTCAAATCTACCCTCCTAATAGTTCATCTTACTGATACCTGGCAGTGCCGCACATGCTCACTCAATGTACCTAAAAGATGTATTTTTATTTCTGATTACTATATTGTAAAAAACTGAAATTCTAAATTGTAAATATGTATATACACTGTGAATACTTTTGATAAAGTTGAATGGTAATGAGGTAGATCAAAGCTTTTAAATAACGTATCTTATTAAAGGAAAAACGCAGAGCAAGATCGAAGTGGCATAGGACTAGATACCCATCAGACAAGTCATATTACTTAACTAAACAACCAGTAATAAGTTAACTAACCAACTAAAAGCTGAAATTAGGAAATACAAAATCCAAAGTTTACTTAACTTAACAGAAAATCTAACAACTACTGACAAATCACTATGGTTGACCACTAAAAAGCTCTTAAAATTCAAAGATTTTAACCACCCACTTCTTACCAAAACCCAAACCTGGTCTAGATCTGATGAAGAAAAATCTGAAATATTTGCTCAACACCTCTTCAAAACATTTAATCCACATCCAGATATCATAAATCCAATCCACCTTGAGTGTATTGAAGCAGAACTCGATATTCCACTCCAATTGACCCTTCCACCTAAAGCATTTCATCCTTCAGAAATATCCAATATCATTCATAGATTACCTTCCCGCAAAGCTCCTGGCCATGACCTAATCACATCCCAGATCCTAAAACTGCTTCCTCAGAAAGCCGTATTATTCCTCACCTATATATATAATGCGGTACTCCGAACTACATATTTTCCTGACTCTTGGAAACTATCCATAGTCAAAATGATACCGAAACCCACAAAGCCGCCAGAATACCCATCCTCTTACCGTCCTATCTCTCTTTTACCCATTATGGGCAAAATCCTAGAAAAACTCATCTTAAAACGCCTGTATCCCATCCTAGATTCTAATAACATAATCCCAGATCACCAATTTGGATTCCGTACATCTCACTCCACTATTCAGCAATGTCATCGTGTGGTAGACGTGGTTTCCTCTGCATTGGAGCGCGGAATGTACTGCACGGGAGTCTTTCTCGACGTTGAACAGGCGTTTGATAGAGTCTGGCATCCGGGACTGATGTACAAACTCCGTAAATTCCTACCACCTACATACTTCCTCATTATCCGTTCCTACCTTAGTGATAGATACTTCAAAGTAAATCACAAAAATGCCTGTTCATCTCTTTTATCTCAATTTGCTGGTGTTCCTCAAGGTAGTATCCTAGGTCCTATCCTTTACACAGTTTATACAGCTGACATTCCAACCCATCCCAACACTGTCATCACCACCTATGCCGATGACACGTGTATCCTATCAGTTAACAACGATCCATCAATTGCATCCCAAACTCTCCAATCACACATCACAAGTCTTGAAGAATGGTGTCAAAACTGGAGGATTAAAATAAACTCCAATAAATCCCATCAAATTACCTTTACCCTGCGTCGCAAACCTATGACCTCCTGTCCTACAGTATTCTTTAACAATTCCCCACTTATCCCAGTTGAACAAATCCGTTACCTAGGACTCCACCTCGACAAACGACTCACATGGAATCCTCATACAAGACTGAAACGACAAGAAACCGCTCGACGTTTCCGACTACTCCAACACTTACTGGACAAACGCTCTAAGCTTTCAATCAATTACAAACGACTCATATATATGACAATAATAAGACCTATTTGGACCTCCGGAATTGAGCTCTGGGGCTCCACTAAGCCATCGAATTCCTCTCGTACCCAATCCTTACAATCCAAAATCCTTCGTAAAATCCTTCGTCAACGCTCCTTACTTTGTCACAAACAAAATCATCCATAAAGACCTTAATGTTCCATATGTTTCCGATTTGGCCCAATCCAGATACCTATCCTTCCATAACAAACTGCAGAACCATCCGAACCCTCTTGTTTCAAACATTGCTTCCTCCTCTATCCCTGATAACCCTCCGAGGCGTCTGAAAAGAAGATGGCCTCGGGATCTTCTAATATAGAACTTTAATTTGAGTTCTACCAATGGGTAGTTTCTCTTCATATTTTACATGTCATGTTACCAATGTCACATTTACCTGTTGTATTTTTAATGTAATACAGTTGTAAATTTCAATAAAATTATAAATAAAAAAAATAAAAAAAGTATTCCCTTTTCTTCTACCTCACTGACCGCGTCCCCTTCAACCGCGTCTCCAAGACACACAGGGCACTTAGTTGTACTCATTGTAGAGATATCTGTAACACTGGGAAATGATGCTCAGAGACATGGTCAATACCAGTAACCAATTTACCAGTTTTACCAACCATGGTAAAACCAGTGAACAAACAGACCTTTCTGGTATTGGAATATATTTCACAATCAAGAAGATTTCATGGTAGGTTTGTTGAAACCACTAGGGCTCATATCTGGAGTATAGACGATTAATGTACTAGGAACTTTGATATAGCTATAAAAAAATCTGGTTGTTAAACTGGTCATGGGTGGACTAGACATGTATGTTGCTTGACTTAACATTGATCTATCAATGAAAATATTGACAAAGGTTTGACAGATAACAAAATGCATTATGGATGGTCTGACTTCATCCAATGCCAATATTATTTTTATTAAAGTAGTTTTTAATATATGTATTTTATAAATTCTTTTTCAATTTATTTATTATAACTGACAAAAGGGATTTGTTTGGCAGTTAATCAATACTTAGCATTAATTTTATTTATTCGTAGTGTATATTATTAATTATTTATTTCATCCAGAGAAGTAGTGAATCACATGTTAAATATTCATGATGTCTAATTTTGATAGGTTTCAGAAATTCAAGGTGATTTTTTTGGAAATCTTGAAAAATTTGTTATGGAACCAGCTGCCCAGCATGTACATTATAAATGTCGCATAACTAGAGATCGTAAGGGTATGGATAGAGGACTTTATCCTACATATTTTCTGCACTTGGAAAGAGACTATGGTAAAAAGGTATTTTCATTCATAATGTTTTTAATATGATTTTAGTTTTTTGTAAGTCACTTGATATAGTAGATATTCCCAATCCAGCATTGTGTTCACAGCCTTATCTATGACTCTCAAATACAAAATTTATATTATCTAATTTCAGATTTTTATTATAATTTTTCATGTCATATTACTGTGTTGGAGAGTTTCTCTTTCCCAATATTTGCTGACTAATTGAGTTACCCTTCCTAGATTTTTAAAATTTTATTTTATTTTCAGATATTTTTATTGGCTGGAAGAAAGCGTAAAAAGAGTACCACTAGCAATTATCTAATTTCCATTGATCCTACTGATCTCTCACGTGGTGGAGAAGCATTTGTTGGTAAATTGAGATCAAATCTTCTTGGGACTCAGTTCACTGTTTATGACAATGGGAAATCACCTAAACAAATTACCTCCAGAGATCAAACAAGTTTACCTAGACAAGAATTAGCTGCTGTTGTATATGTGAGTTTTCATTACTTAGTGATCTAACTAGAGACTGGATTTTCATTCAGTTAAAAATCTTAAAATTCATTCCGCAAAACATAGATACAACTTCAACATATCTGGTTGCTAAAAGATCCGATCAAGAAGATTTTTAACAAACCTCTCCATTTTTATCCAAAAGATGATTGCACAGTTAGCAGGTGATGTTAAAGCAGTAATAAAATTGAGACGGCTGTTCATTGATACAAACACTTAACAGACAACAATCGAAGAGACTTTTATCAGTTACAGATTTTGGAGGCCAAATGTAGGTTGAAATAAACCACATAAAACTTTAAACTATAGTAAGGGTGTTATCCATTGTTATGATTTCCAATACATGGAAATACAGGAAATAAAGAATGAATTAACCCCGGTAATAAAAGATATCGTCAGAATAAAATCAAAATGGAATGGTAACGAAATACTAACACATAACTATATAGTTACGTTTTCAACTCCTAAACCTCCAGAAACATTACAAATTGGATATGAAACGGTTAGAGTACAGCCATATATACCAAATCTATTACGATGTGTTAACTGCCTAGGTTTTTCTCACCTGACATCACAATGTAAAAAAGTTTCATTTCAGTATCCATACAATGTGGTCAGGGAAGACATGGAGAAAATATAAGATGTAATTTGCCGGCTAGTAGCATAAATTGTAACGGTCTCTATATTGATTTAGATGCTCTTATAATGAGCATGTACAAACCTGAAACATCTCAGTTTTTTTATTTGGGTCCATCCCTTCGACATTGAGACTATACGAAGCTTTTCCTTGGTGGAAGGAATGTTTAAAACTCCGATGGCACCAGGACACCAACTCATAATTACTTTATCATGTAAACTTGAGTTTATAAGGTTGCCGGGAAACGTGTATTTTACACAGCTTTAGCCTCCTGAATTAATGAATGCCCGAAAAAGGGGTAATAAAAACAAGTGGTGGGGACTCAAATTTTGACTTATGGAAATTGTTTGGACTAGTGAAGAGGTAAGCATACTAAAAGCACCGTTAGGTGGTGAGCCAGGTGTGGGGGGAGGAGAGAGGAGGGCCTAGCAACACCATCCATTGACTCGACTAAGAGGTTCTATTTTAAATTAAATGCAATATGATTAATTATATACCATTTTTTGTTATATTGCTTAGTTTCCGAGACATCCGTCCTCAATTATTGCTAATGTGGAAAAAAAACATTTTACCTCATGTTTTTTACTGTATTTGACTAGCTAACACTTGACTGCATCGTTATATGATAAAGTCATGGGAAAGAAGGTTTTTGACAATTAAATTTTCTTCGAGGATATATATATATATATATATATATATATATATATATATATATAAAATTTTACTAGTTTATCTTCAGCGGTTTAAAAGTTAGATCAATTATAACTTTTTATGTCAATTCCGAGAATTTGCAGTAAAAATTTATTTTATTTTTATATTATTCGTTATTATATTGTTCTAACTCTCTCTCTCTCTCTCTCTCTCTCTCTATATATATATATATATATATATACATACATATACATACATACAATAACGTATATTATAAACATAATTTTTTTCTGCAAATTCTCGGAATGGACATATAAAGTTATAATTTATCTAACTTTTGAACCGTTGAAGATAAACTAGTAAAATTAGATAGATTTAGGTTATCGTTCTCATGCCCTAATCGAAGATTGAAGCAGCCAAGAGTTAGCTAGTCAAATACAGTAAAAAACATGTGGTAAAATTGTTTTTCCCAAATTAGTGATAATTAGGGGCAAGTAATTCAAAAACTAAGCAAGATAGTGAAAAATGGTATATAATTAATCATATTGCCAATTTTATTAACTTCAATTTTTTATAGAACATTTTTGTCGATGCGATAGATAGTTTTCCTGATATAAGCGAATAACAGTAACAAACAGGCAATTTTTTTTTCTTCAAAATTCGCCTATCTATCTTCAAAATAGTTGAAGATAGATATCTTGCTAACTAAGCGAGGTAGCGAAAAAATGTATAGAATCAATCATATGGCAAATTTTATCGACTTTAATTGTGGTTTTTTTTTTTTTTTTTTTTTTTTTTTTTTTTTTTTTTTTTTTTTTTTTTGTTCTTCTCTACCTCGCCTTTTAGGCTATACGGGATTTTCCCGGGCCGGGGGGTGAGGGCGGGGAAATTTAAAATCCCCTCCGGCACCGGGACGCGAACTCTTACTTTTTATATCATCTCAAATCTCTGTTATCCGGTTGCCAGGCAACTAGTGGTGCTGTTACACAAGCTTTAGCCTATTCGGCCACCCCGCCCCCACTTTAATTGTGTTTAGAACGTCTTTTTGGATGTGATGGATAGTTTTCCTGATATAAGTGAAACCCCGAAAAAAGTGACCTTATAGGGGTCTCTCCCCCCCCCCCCCACCTGGCTTACCACCTAGGAGTCGTGACTTTTAGTATGTTTATTTCTTTACTAGTCAATCTACCAAAGTCAAAAATTGTGTCCCTGCCATTTCCTTCTGTGATCATTCATTGACTGAACTACTCGGCCATCTCGCCTCACAGGTTGTATCGTATGGATAATTATTGTTCTTTTTGTGGCAATAAAAAAACTAAATTGCTTTACATGAAAATAAGAATAGCCCATAGCTCAGTTTATTTCATAATAGATAAAAGTGTTAAGTATCACCTTTTACGTACTCTTACTTTATGAAAATAAAGTGCTTAAAGTATTAGTAAATAGGCTATAAAAATAAATTACTTAATGTCAGTTTTCTAAAATGAAAAAAAAAGTTCCTAATCATGTTTAAAAAAGGCTTTCTCTTGAACATTATATTTGTTTTTTAAATGACTGAACAGACTTTTTTTTACTCTAATCTTTCAATTTTCAATCATGTATGATAAATTAAATAGTTATAAATTATATATATAGTTATAATTATAAACTAATTAGTTATAAACTATATATTTTTAATTTTTGTGTCCATTGACATATTGGTCAGGGAAAACTTTCATTAAACAGGGAATAGTTAGGGAATTTTACTTTGACAATTTGGTAGCCACTCTGTAGTATTAATTTCAATTCCAAATATGTCAAAAATGTTCTTATACTATACCATACCTAAATCATGACACTTATCCTGTGGAATTTCGATGGTATTAAAACTCATTTTAACGATTTGAAACTATTAATGGAAGATGAAGATCAATTTTTTATATGCCTCCAAGCAACGCATCTAAAGCCTTCAGACCAATTCACCCTTTAAGGCTTCAATATCTATGGGACAAATTGTGGTCCAGATTACTAGCCAGCGTGTAGAGGCGTAGCTAAAGATGTAAAAGAGCCGGTTTATTCACACCAAGTAGAAATATACTCTCCACTTCAAGTTATAGCTGTTAGAGTTCATTTAAACATCACTTTTACTATTTGCAACATTTACCTAACTCAAGACTACCATAGAGGCAGAACACCTTATCCATATCAATAGACAGTTGATAAAGTCGGTTTTGTACACTGAAGATTTCAATGGCCATAAGCCATTATGAGGCTTACAAGATACGAACTCCAGAGGTCAAATCATAGAAAGTTTTTTAGATTTTATCAGTACTTTGTTTCTGAATTCCGGCTAAGCAATATATATAAGTTCAAGCTTTGGTACATTTTCAACCAGAGATCTATCTATTTGCAGCAACTCACTGATCAATTCACTGACAGTTTACCAGAACCTTATAGCAGTGACCGTTTCCCAATCCGTCTTAAATTCAGAAGTTCAAACTGCAATAATTACATCTTTCCTAGTTGGATTTTAGAAAAAGCAGATTGGTCTCTATTCACTTCTTTAGCCGACCCGCCTCAAAATCCCTCAAATAGTATGACTATAGATGATGACTGTAAATCTATAACTGGAGCTATACTAACAGCAGCAGAGGTCTCAATTCCAAAAACCAAGGGATATTTCAAAATGCCACCTGTTCCTTGGTTTAATAATGATTGTAAAAACACTGTACGACTCCGGAGAAAGGCACTTGAGAAATTTAAAAAGAATATGAATCTGGCGAACCATATAGAATATATGAGGAGTTAATTGGGGGTTGCGGTCAAATAAATACTAAATTAAAATATAGTAATTATTTAATTTTTGCCGACGTTTCGACCCACTTTGCAGGTCGTCTTCAGGGCTACAAAAGATACAAAACATGTTGAAAATAAAAAATAAATATAAGTAGATATAAAATAAGAAGAAGTTGTCAGATACAGAAATAAAAAGATGATATCAGAGATATAGTGGGTGACAATGTAGTTAAATATTAAGTATTATATATGTAGAAGATACAAACAAATTGAAAATAAGTATGAATAAAAATAAAAATAAAGGAGAATATAGCATGTAAGTTAAAAGTAAACAGATTGCGATAAAAGATAAGGAATAAGTGTATAACAAACTAATAGAGATTACATTAGATAACTGTGGGTTAACAGATAAAGAAAATGAATGTTAACGAATAAATAGATTGAAAATTGAATAAGTATTGTTATAGTAAAGTTAAAATAAGAATAAGATAAAATAATAATAAGATATCAGTGGATAACAAGCTAGTGGAGGTTACATTTGATTGTAGGTAAACAGATAACGGGACTAAAGGTTAAGAAGTGAAGAAATTGAAAGATTAATAGGGTAACATTAGTGTAATATCGTTGGGATAGATTATCAAGTATAAATAACTATATAAGAAAACAATAATTATAAGAAGATAAATTTAGAATGTAAGTATAAGTGTAAAACAAGGTTATGATGATAAAAAAAAAAAAAAAAAAAAGTTGTACTATATATAGATGACAATTGACATTCAGTTTTTTGAAAGCGGTAATGGAACAGTAGGCTGCATGAAGATAATAATAAGGTACACACCTATTTTTCAACTATATACCTTATTATTATCTTCATGCAGCCTACTATTCCATTACCGCTTTCAAAAAACTGAATGTCAAT